AAAATATTGTCGTGGAAATAGTATCTTAAAAGGAGAAAATATCCAGAAGAAAGGGAATCAGCAAAGGATTCACATGTTAGCATTCCTTTCATTTCTGTTTCTCAAAGGAAACACAGGTGGAATTTAACCTTGAAAGGACCATTCATGTGATAATGACTTTAAATGTTTTAATTAACAGTTCAAATCTTTTCTAAATCCAATAGTAAAGGATAAAACAGGATTGTAAATAGACTTGGTTTTTCAACCAGCCTTTCTTTTCCTTTTTTTTCTCAGTCAATTGGGCATTTCTTAGGTCTATCCTCACAATCATGGTAGGAATTAAGCCTAAGAATTATAAGTGTACAAAGAAAAGGAATAAAAAGTATAACAAGAGTTATTAAATTAACAAACATATTTACATATGTTCCAACAACACATAATTTAATTTATTGTCATCTATTATCAGGTAGAAATCAGAAGAAACACTTGTAGCTTAATAAATAATTTAATTTCTTGATTTTCTATGTAACATATAAATTTATTTTTACAGGATATATAGAGAGCATACTCATAGAGAGCAACAGACTTATGAAACGACTATAAAACACAAATTATAAGTTGAGTTTAAAATTTCTCATTTTTACACTTGTATTTGTCTATTTTCCTATTGCTAGTCAAAGCAAAACCATATAATTGTAAGTATTCTAAGACAAAAGGAGCGCCCCCATCACCTACTCATGAATTACATACATTCTAGATTGTACAAAGTCAAAAGAGGATGAGCAAAACTTTCTAGATTGTACAAAGTCAAAAGAGGATGAGCAAAAACTCAAGAGAAGTACTATGTAAAATGCACTTGCACTGACTGTGAACAGATCTGAGTGTGTTTGAGTTTAAAATATGATTTGAACACCAGCAGAGGAAAATTACTACATCCACTTTCCTATTTGGGTTCCCTCAAACTCTGAAGATTTAAAAGTTGTAATTTAATAGCAGTTATATGAACATAGCTCCACTACTTTGGTGGAAAGAATGCACTAACAATTCTTGGTAACAGGAGCATATACTGCAAGCAGTATGGACAACTGCCCATGTATCCTGACATTAAGAAGCCATCCTCCTCCCAATTGAACATTAACTTAAACACATTTGATCTCCCCAAATTTAACCTCTCATTGACTAGTAAAGATAGATCCATATTACTTTGCCACATATTCATGCACTATGTAATAAGATCATTTCACATTAAATCTTTTTTTTTTTTTTTAATGACACAGCATGCCATTTGGAAGGTAACATTTAGATTGCGAAGTTTGAAATTTACACAACACTAATATTACATGTAGTACTCTGAAGTTCATGGGCAGTTTTTTTTGAGTTTGTTATTTCGTAGTAGAGAGAACACAGTATAATGATATTTTAGAGTGCTTCTTTTTGTTAGAAACAGAAAAGTTTCAGATTTATGAACACTAAGGGATATATCAATGAGAAGTAAATGGTAGAAAAAAATAAAAGTAAATTTACTTACTTTAATGAAGGATTCAGAAGAATGAGTTTGTCAGTGAATGCAGAGGCCATTAAAGGAAAGTTTACTAATGAACAGAAGGAATTTACACATAAAAACTTATAAAACCATATCGTACAAATATATATGCATATCCTATCTGTAATGGAGAAACATTTTATGTTCTGAGGTTGTAAAAAATGCATAATACTGAATGGAAAAGTAAAGTTGATTTCCTTCTTCAAGACATTTTCTATGGATTTAACCAAAGTCTGATTATGACAAGGGCACACCAAATTAGGAGTAGAATTAACTCTCCTCCTTCTTTTGTTCTATACAAGTTAAGTGATATTGTATAGTTCCTTCTGACAGTATTTCATTCTCTAAAATAAGGCATAGGTTTTTACTCTGCAATGAATCAAAAAGTAACTACTTTAAATCACCACCACCCTACTTTTCAGAACTGTACATATTGTTCTGAGGTTATATTACAATTTGTGAAAGTAGCAAAAACTTAATCACTGAAAATGAAGAACATAAATTCTACTTTTTCATAATAAAACTGGTTTCTTTTAGAAAAGTACATCAAATGGTTATTTCTTTTCTTTCTCTAATGTTTGAATCCTTTTTAGTAGACAATGTAATTAAAAAGGAAGAAAAAATAATGAAATGAGTCACACTTGTTAAACTATATGATTTTGCATTTCAACTATTTGAAATTAATTTAGAATTGAGTAAATTATCTTAATAATAATAGTAGGTATTCTCATTTATTTTGGAGTATATTACTTATTATTGTTAAATTTTTCTTCAATGTTTTCCATGTCTATCATAAAGTCAGGCCACTTTGGAAGAGGAAGTATCTCTGTCAGAAGAACAATAGTCACCCTTGACTTTTCATGACTAATGAAAGGAAAAATAACAAGCTCAACAATGTCTGCAAGATATGTGAGTTTCTCTGAATATTAGTCTATGAGCCTGTCTTTTGAATCTAAACATCTATGGGTTTTTTGGATGCTGGAAGTCTTGAGAGTCACACACAGGAAAACAGATTTTCACAATTATCAATCTCATTTGGAAGTTCAAGTAGTGTTCATTATTTCCTTTAATAGATTTTAAAGGGCTGAGTTATTCTTGAATTCAAGTGTAAGTCCCATTATTAAGGATAATTGAAACTGTTGGTTACTTTCTTTGCTCAGAATAGTCAGGTGGGAAAGATCCATAATAAGTCAAGAAATAGCCTCTGCTTCCATTGTCAACATTTTATTTATTTTTTAATAGATTCAGATTGAGATTTATTTTTAATAACTGTATATATGGTTGGGAATATTTTCCACAATAAGGAATAGCCTATTCAATATCTCACTTCTATTCAACTACATCAGTAGTGGGATTAATGGCCAAACAAATTCAGATCAGATCTGTATATGTGAGTTCTCTTAATTTTACTCAGTGATTTCACTTGTGTGACTCTGATACTTTCCCTAGAATTTCAGTAAGATTTATTCTGGGAGTAATGATATAAACTAAAATTAATAAAGAAGAAATCTCTAGTAATCTCAGCAGTCAGGAGGCTGAGGCAGGAGGATTGAGAACGTGAGGCTAGCCTAGCCTGAATCCTGTCTCAAAAACAAAATAAGCAAAATATCAAACAAAAAAGAAATTAAACACAACATTAAAAACTGCTCCTTTAAAAGGAGAGCTAGAGTACCATTCCAGAAATCATAAAATAGCTTGCATTATACAAATAAATGTTTCCTAGAAATAGTAATTTCAATTCAAAAATTTGGTACCTGAAAAGTTAATGACTATTATAGGATAAACAAAATTGACTTTAGAGTTTAGGAATTGGCTCTCAGTTAATATTTCTTCTTGTTATAAAATATTTATTAACAATGAAATATGGAAGAAACCCGCATCTACATATTTAAGATTAAGTTGATAGACTCCAAATACATATACTATGAGTAAAATAATAATTACAAAATGCTTGAGTGAACAATCAAATTCTTAGCTATAGAAATATATTAAGTTCAGATTTTATCACATCTTCAATTTATTTCGTAGAATTTATCTAAACTTAAATCAGCTGGTAGCACAACATATGTAAGTCTTCTCTGCCCATAGAAGACCAAAGGAATGGGATAGAAATTAAATAATCAAATATTTGAGCACCAGAATAAAGACTAAGATGCTCAGAAGCAGCAAGTTGAGGTTACACTAGAGAATTAGATGAACATTTGAATCTATAATGTATCATCCAGAGCTCAGGCGGTGATTGATGAAAAACAGGCAATACCAAACATCACACATGTCCAAGTCTGGAAGTCCATTCTTCCCCCCAGCTTGGCTAACACATTCACATTTTCAAATGTGTTTTTACAGCTAGAATAATCTTATCCCCCATAACCCCAACAAACAAAAAGAGAAGGATGAAACCTAAGCACTAGGGGAAATACATGTATTTTTATTTTATTGTGAGTTCTCATAGAACTTCTGTTACACGTAGAATATGTGAACACATGAGTTCTCATGTGGAGCTGATAGAGGAATAGAAACTTGGGAGGAACGTTTATAAAGCTGTAGATAGCTTCCTTTGCATTTATTTCTTTGTAAATGTAACAAAGCATTGGAGGAAAAAAAGTTTCTTAAGTTGTGAGAGTATAAAATATTACCCATCAATCCCTGAATCATGCTATTCAAAGTGCTTAAATCTATACTAAAAATAGAACAAAAAATGTACTCCCAATGCAGCTAAATTAACACCTATGGATGCCTAAAATATGATTGTGTTCTGATTACCTCCTCCACATTTATTCCACACACCCACCGTGCACTTAAAACTTGGAAAAAAATCAAAAACAAAGAAATAAATCAGGCCATTGCCACATTTACAATCTTCTGAGTACTGGGGAAGTTTGGAATCCAGTCCAATGACAAGTGTCCATAGTACAAAGTAAACAATGGCCTTCTCTGGTTCTGAAAATAACCCAATATGCAAAGCTGACCTTAATGTTTTATGTGTCCTTGTAGCTTCAGTTCTGATTTTTAAAATGTGACACAGAACCAAGGGGAGCACAAGAATAAAGACATATTATAGAGAAGACCCAGGCAAGTTGTCAGAGAAGTAAACATTTTTTTTAAGCAAATAAAAACCAATGCACATCCCAAGGCTCCTTTACCTTGTCACGCAGACACTGAGACCTTTGCATTGTTACAAAATGTTTGTACTTGTATCTCATACATTCATAGTTCTACCTTGCCCTCCCCAATGTCCTCTATTGCAATTTATACTTTTATGTCCATGTGGCCCACTCAAGCCTTTTTAGCCTTGAGACCCAAACTCTAGGATTGTTTTCTAGTTGTATGGTATGGCAGGAATAAAGCAAACACAGTAGTTACTTCTTGACCCCACAGATGATGGCTGAGAAGGAATTTCCCATAATGAATCACTAAAGTAAGTTCTATAAAGCTTAAGTTCTATTATCAGTGGTTTTGTCACATTGATTTAAAACAAACAAACAACTAAACTCTACATAGGTCACATTTCCTTTTAACAATTCTGCCCTATACAGGATCTTTTGTGATTGATTTAGCATCATTGTTAACACGACAAGGAATTAGCTGCTTATGTGATTGATTTCAAACAGAAAGCTAGACAGAAAGTGACAAATTTCTTGTGAGCATCAACTTTCTGTTTCTGATAGAATTATATAGTTAAAATTAAATTAATTTCTATACAATAAAATTAAGTATTTTAAGTATTTTCTGATCTAATTAAAACTATTTTGTGTAAATAATATTTACTTTGAAAATAGTTTGTGTTGTTATTCATGTTTGACCTCCTGAGATCTTATTTAAACACCTTTATATTAATAAATGCTGCTTATGTTCATAAACTGAATGTAGCATTGAAAAGTAAATACAAGTCAGTTAACATTTAAGTACAAGGGGACCCCACAATAAGCTTCACAGATTTTTTTTTCTGACTCTTCAGAAGATAACATTTTGTATAATACAAGGTGACATGATATATTTGATGACACCTCCTGATCTTCCCTTTGGTTTGGAAGCCTTCAATGTAAATTTCATTTTTACTTGCCTTGATTCATCTATCTGAGTTAACTTGCCTGGTATTTGCACATAATCTCATTTGCAGAAAAATTAATTGTAGAGGGAAAAGAGGAAATAGATTTTCAAACAAAAACAGCCACAAACACATTCATGCCTTTCCAGGAAGTGATCAAATATAGGGCTTGGTATTTTTTTTTTTTTGGTTTTGTATTTTTGTGTGTTTTTTATTTATTTATTTGTTTTGTTTTGCTCTTTTATATATATATATATATATATATTTCTATTTGTATTTCTATTTATATATATTTATATATAAGGATACATCAACTCATCTTTAAAAAAACGGAAACAACACTCTCCCCATTTTCATGCCTTCCATCTTCATTCTGTAGTGATCACTCTGTAGTGGTCACAGTCACGTGACTAGCACAACTTTGGGTCTAGAGTGTATTCTGAAGAGCAGTGAATTAAATGTTAAGACAGTTAGACCTACCCCTACCATCTGCAGAGTTTTACACATCATGCTGCCATTAGAAGGGTAGAGGTAGGGAATGAGGTGGGGACAAGGAAGAAATATCAGGGCTCTGACTGGCAGGGCCCTCCTATGAACAAATGTTCTTCTCTCTCTCTCTTTTTTGTTGCCAAACAGCAATGCATTGCTGGCATTCAGTTGCACTGCTCTTTGAAGGCCGACGTGGCCCAGCTGGTCCTAGGAAGAACCTGAGAGAGGATCCGGTGCTCCTTGTCCCGTCAGATAGATTTGTCCAAGCACCCCAAGGAAATGTTAAAAGCAAAATAAAATTTAAAAATAAAACTAAAAACCCATTTTAAAACTAAATTAGTGACGCAAAAAAAGGGTTTCCTATCTACACATCAGTCTCTTCTTAAAAAAAAAATGTAAATTTACAAATCCAGTGACATATAAAACAAAGTAAAAAAAATGTAATGGTAAGAGACATGGTAGAACAGGAAGACACTGATGCTACAAAGAAATTCCAAAAAATATATGTACAAGACCCTGTTTTTCCTCGTGTTCTAGAGATTGTAATGCATGTTTTAACAGCAGCAGTCGAGGATTTAGTTCCAGGCACTGGACTGCAGATTCTTTTCAAACTCCCAGGGATGGGCTGTCCTTTGCTTCTCTGTCACCAAATCACACTGGATATACTGGTCTCCCTTGGCAACAACGGCAGGATGGCACTGTTTGTGTGGGCCTCATCTGGATTCGGCTCCCTGCTCGACTTTGTCTGTGGCCGCTGCCCATTGATGAGTGTCATAGGGATGTTACAGTAGGTATGCTGATTTCCTATGGAGGTAAGTGGCAGGGTGCCCGTAGGAGGTACGTCGTACTCATAGCTTCGGTAGTAGTGTTTCTGACGCATTTGTGAATGGTAGGTATTGTGAAAGGTAGAACGGAGATCTGGATGGGCAGTGGCTAGAGCTGTGGAGGTGGCCGCAGCCATTGAAATGGCCGAGACAGTCTGCAGCTCCCCGAAAGGCCCCTGCTCACTGACATCTAAAGCCTGCTCATGTGTAATGGGTTCTATCCTCTTAAAAGGCATTTCGTACTGTAAACGTTTCCAGAACTTCGAGTTCAACTTGTTGCATTTTGGTCCATGCCATTTAATAACCGTCAGCAGCTTGATGGTGTGCTTGAGGGCCTCTACCTCCTGGTAGTTCATAATTCCTCGGAGTTCGCTACATTCGATCAGTATCACTTTGATTTCTCCAGTCACAAGCATGTTTCGAAGTCTTGTTTCCAGCTCAAAGATGCTCCAGCCCCTCCGAACTACATAATTTGGGGTCATGACAATGATCAGCCTCTTACTTTGATCTACACATCTTGCCACATCTTCAATGTATGCTATAAAGAGAAGAAGGATGAGGGTAAGTGAACTGACAAGAGATCCAAAAGGCTCTGATACTTTCTCCCACACATTATGTAAGAATTGCTTGTTGTCAATACTTTATGACTATATAAACAGTGGATGAGCAAGCACTTTGCATAGAGTTTTGACCTCTGTTCTAGCAAGATTAGAGATATTAATTTCAGGTTGAAATACCTGATTTGATTTAAATAAATTTAAGGCTCATAGAATACAGTGCTGTATAGAATGATAAATTATCTTCTCTGACATATTAAAAATACAGTTTCATATAAAAACATTTCTTTCTCGAAAAACTAAGCAAAATTACTTAAGACACAAAATGCTATGTAAAGTTGGTGACTACACAGATGTACCAACTTAAAACACACACACACACACACACACACACACACACGCATGAAATAAGCAAGTGAAAACATTAACTTACTTCCAGTTGGGATCAAATCTCTATCTGGTATAAACAACTTATAACCATAATGCTTTTCAAGCATATCAGGGAGAATTTCAAGGGCAAAACGTTCTTCTTCCCCAGTCTCTTGATTCCACTGATCAGGATCCACTTTGGTATATGACAGGTAAGCATCATAATCTTTGTTGTCTGTCAAAAACATTACAAAGTAAGTTCTACAAATTAAGTTCTAGAAAGAAAACAATAGAATATTAGCAATATTTACTTTTACTTATGAATATTTATAAACATCTCACTCTTGGAAAATAAAATAGGAACTTGTATCAATTTTAATAGTGTGTTCTGCAACTAGCTAGAAGATGCAAAGGTGACACATTGTTATTTTTGTTGTGATGAAAATAGTAGGAAAAAGTTAATGGCAACAGTAATGAAGGAATAAGGGATAGGGATGAAGCTTAGTGCTGGAACTCATAAACCTTTGGCATCAACAGCAGGTACACTTACTGTCACGACCAGAAAAAAAAAGGTAATGTCATGACAATTTCCATAATTTTTTAGATACAAATTATAGGAAATCTTTACTGTTTATATAAAAAGCTATATGTTTAGATAACAATGTATTATTATTGTATGTGCTGCATTTAACAACCTTATGTTTGAATATTTTTTTAAAGAAGAGAGTTATAATCATTTAATTTCAACTTTAATTAAAAATTATTAAAAGTAGTGATTGTAATTACAAGAACCTCTTTCTTTTTTCCTTCCTTCCTTTCTTTTTCTTTGTTTCTTTATGTTTTATTTATTTATTTTTTTGAGACAGGGTTTCTCTGTGTAGCTTTGTGGACCAGGCTGGCCTTGAACTCACAGAGATCCACAAGACTCTGCCTCCTGAGTGTTGGGATTAAAGGTGTGTGCCACTACTGACTGGCAAGAGCCTCTTTCTTATTCTGCAGTTTCAGTTACCAACTACAATTCTGCCTATTGCAGAGATAGAAAACAGCTTGTAGGAACTCTAATATGTCTCATAATCTCAAGTGTAGTCATTTAGTTACTTTTTACATTGGTTTTGTGAGATTTTGACTGAGATATATCATATATACAATTGAAATTAAATAAGAAGCCCAGCATCTAATCAGTCAAACAACAGATCCAACAGTTTTCTTCTTTTTATATTGTTTAAATAACCATCATACTTATTATTTCATAAAAATACTTTTTTGAGTAAAACGAGAGTTTATATCCTGTGAAATTAAGAAATAAAAACTAACTTACAATATTATTAAGAATGTTTATTATGCTCAGCCCCAATTAGAACATCTACAGCATAATCTGTATACCCAAGCACCCAAGGCTCAGGGAACATGACAGAGGGCTCTGAAAGATCCTATGGACCAGAAAACCAGGATACCTGCTGTTTTTCTTTTACATTAACAGAGAAGTTTTACCCATGAAACTCAACAATAAGATTGCCTAAATGAGACTTGCATAATGACCAGAAAAAATTGACAGGACAATGTGCTGATAGGGGAATTTCACAAAGTTGCACCCTTATATGAGAAGCTGTAGGAAATCAATGCCTGCTAAGAGATGAAGAATCTGTTTCTTTTAAGTATAAAGCCCCTGATAGGTTATCAAAACCCATTTGGTTAATCCTAAATACATGTACCTAGAACCTAGAAACAACAGTAAATGGAATCGTGTGTGTGTGTGTGTGTGTGTGTGTGTGTGTAGATGTTTGTAGCAACAATAAAGAAAAAATCCTTGAATTTGAGAGGTAGTAGGAAGCATGTGGATTTTTAGAAGGTGAAGAGGGAGAAATGGAAATTATGTAAATAAATTACTCATGTATGATATTCTAAAATTACGACTAAAAACCAAACAAAAATAAAACCAGGTTGATTGTGGTGGTGTGTATTCATAGTCTAAGCTATTTGGAAAGCTAAAGAAGACTATTTGAGGCCAAGAGTTTCAGATCAGTCTGTGCATAATACAGTGAGTACAGTCTCAAGAAAAGAAATGCAAACCAAATCAAACAACCAACACTAAATATGTTCAAATATCATTATGAAATCTTCATGGGAGAAAGCAAAACTGAAAACATATCAGAAATAAAAGAGAGTACAAAACTGTCCTTACTCTTCCAAGGTTAAAGTCATAAGAGGTAAAGTTCTAAGTCGTGGCTGCTGTAGGATGTTTGGTATTGGTCTTGGATGTCTTATCTAAATAACAAGAGACTTTCTCTGAGGTGTGGTTACTCTTAACCCTCATGGCCAGATAACTAGAAATTTAGTCTAAGGCATGGTTACCAAATGTTTGGAAAATTAAGGAAGAAGAGGTCTGTTTCTTCTTTGTATCTTGATAAAGAAGTCTTTTTGCCATTTCCCCCTTTTTTGGCTGGGGTACTTAAAGAATGTTGAAGAATACACTTGGGGCATTCAGTATTCACTGAATTGCCCTCCTGAATATATTCTGTGTCTCTGTCTTTTTCTTAGTCTCTTTACCTGTGTTTATCAATCCACACTCCCCCTCTAAGTTAAGAACTGGGCAAGGGGGTTGAGTCCATTTAATGCCCCACAAAGATGGGATACTACAGATTGGCATCACAAAGTGAGGTTACTACAGATGACCGCTAAAATTTTATATAAGAAGAGTGCATGGATTTTGTTTTCAGAATAACATACTTAAAAAAAAAAACTAGAAATTGTTAAGCTTCCTTCTCTCTTTTGTAGATGAACATAATATACTGAATCTGGGCTAAAGAGATATACTGACAAGGAAATGGTTTGAGATTTACAGATGGGTTTTTGATACTTTTTAACCTTTAAATATCTATTGAATAGTTGTCAGATGTTATTGGCAACTGCCTTTTTTTTTTTATTACTTTCCAGTGTTACTAAATCACATAAATGAAACTGACTATTGATAGAGCCCATAATTCACCAAATGGGTTACAAAAATAAAACTAGAGGACATTTAGGAATGAGATAGCTCAGAAAACTTATAGTTAGAAGTTGTCACCGATACAACTTGAGCCATATTTCTTTTTTAGGTCTCAGGTTTTATTTTCTTATATAACCTCACATTTCTGAGATGTGTTTTGTTCATGTTAAAAATTGTAGAACTATATAATGTGAGAATGCATACACATTAACTTATTAAATTGTAATCTTAATGTTTTGACTTTTGTGCATATTGAATATCTGTTAATATTTTAAAATTTTTGGTGATATTTAAAGTTAAACCAGGAAGTTTGCACATGGATGGTAAGCAAATGCTCTACTTAATTTTAACTTACTTTTAATTTCAATTCTGTTATGGAAATCCCTGTAGATTATATTTGCAAAGAAAGCTACTTGATTCAAGCATTTTGACAGTTTATAACATTGATCTATCTAGTTTATATGTTTTGTCATTCAGTATTTTTCCAGACTGTTTTATATAAAGATTCTTAAATATTTAAATGAAGCATTAATTTACATAGTTTTTGAGTCAGAACCTTTATGTACACACTGAACTAGCATCAACTTTGCCATCCTCTTACCTTAGCCTGCTGAGTGTTAAGATGATAAGCATTGTACACATGCCAGTAATTAAACTATTGTCCTGGGGACATGGCTCAGAATTTGAAAGTACTTTCTATGAAAGTGTGTGGATCTGGTATTGAAATCCAAGAATCCATATATAATCCAAACACAGTAGCAGCAGCATCTGTATTCCCCAGATGAGATGCTGAGACAAGAGACTCCCTGGAAACTCCCAATCCAGCTATCCTTCATAAGCCTGGGAAAACCAAGATACCCCATTTCAAATAACATGGAAAGGAAAGACCAACACACAAGGCTCTCCTGAGCTCCAAATGTGTGCATAGACCATGTGCATTCACATTTATATTCATATAGATACAAAGGTAAATTTAAAAAATTAAAATATATATTTAGAGTCTGATATGACAAAAACAAAAACAGCTGAGCTGAACTTCTAACTTCCATAAATTCTGACTCATTTGAGATTTTATTTTCTAAACAGTGAAAGATAACCTTAGAGGCTAAGACATTTCTCAGCGATAGGGCACTTGTCTAACATATACAAAGCCCTAGGTTTGATCCTCAGAACAGAGAAAAAGTGAGATTAAAAACAACAACTTCTTGAAGTTGTTTAATAGTAAATGTTTCCTAATTATATATCAAATTGTCTGGCTTGAGAGTCATTTAACAAGTATTAATTACCTTCCTTTAAAAACAAAACAAAAAAGCCCTTCCTTTGTAACCTTAAGAAAGCAGTGGCTGGCATAGCCATAGCTGTTGTACTATGGCTTTTTACTTGGGATACTACATAATCATCACATCTGCAGGTTTGAAATAGTGATTCCTTTGAACAGTTTGCCATGGCAATAAATAAAGAAAGAAAGAAAGAAAGAAAGCCACACAGTGATATTTAGGTATATAAAATAGAAATGGAGCTCTTGGCACTTCTTAATTAGGAGGTAGGGGATACCAAGTGATATTCACCTTGAATTGCAGTCAGTGAGGGATCCTGCCCTCAGTCCTTACAATCAACAGGTGTTCAAGGGAGATACTAGGTTTTGCTTGATTTCTTTTTATTTATTATTTTTGCTATTGTCATTTTTGTTGGCAGTGGTGGTTGTGTGTGTCTAGGAACAGAAAAGCTAACAGAAAATAGGACTCAATGACTCAGCTTACATAAGGATATTATTCATGATGGAGTGGGATTTTGTGGTGATACAGCTGTTTGAAGGTCACCTATACTCCCATGAGAAACCCCTCAGCCATGATCTTTAAGCAAGCCTTTCAAAAACTCATTGCTTGAAAAAGTTGTGTTTGGATGGAATTATATATTCATCTTTTTGGAGTGCCCTATGTGGGGAGAATAGGCATTTGTTCCTATTTCCTCAGGAAGTGTTAATGCAAGAGGAGAAAAGGCAACAGACTAGTATCAGGGCCTACTGTGTGTGGCTTAAGAAGGGCTGACACACCCTTTAACAGTTTCTGAGTTTGAATAGGTCATAAGCTCAAAATTACTTGGTTTTCCTTTTGGGAATTCAAAAACTATGTACAAAACTCAACTAATCAGCACTAACATGACACAAGAGGTCAGATCCAGAGGTATTCTACATGATGTACAGAGACAAAGTATTTCACTGACATACTTGAAGACAATTCTTGAGTCTACATATAAGGAAAGAACCTGTAGTTGAAGCAGAAAGAAAACTATTTATGTATGGCCTAAGACTACACAGATGGCAATTTGTTTTGTAGACAGGGAACAACTTCTCATTTTCTGAAGATGAGGTAGAGATTTTAAAAGATTGTTCTAACTCATTTGTCCAATACTGATAACACCAACCATAAAGCTAGATCTCTGTCCTCATCTTTAAAATATGAACTGTGTTGGTAATTATAATGTTCTTAATGTTGCACTGCTATGATTATGGGTAACTATGACCTATCTATATACCTCTTAGGCAGAGGGATAGGGGATAAACTCTTGTGATCTGGAAAAAAAAATAAACAAAAGACAGGTAGCCATTTTTAAATAAGCATGGAAAAGAAAGCCCAGGCAAAGGCATGCAAAAGCAAAGGAGGCTGATATTTTGATATTTTTCTTTCTCTCTAATTTATTGTAGTGTAGACTAAGGTATTGTGTTGGTATAAGTTCCCCTCTGAAGACACTAGGTCTCCCTTATCATGATGCTCAGCTATGTAATTACAACACAACACTGTTCTAGGGGCAGCTACTTCAAAAAAATTAAAATACCTTTATTTATGATTAAAAGTAGGTGCTTCACTGATTAGGTCAAGAGAAGTTAAAAAAAATCAGGCTCCACTGGTAAAATTAGTTGGTTTATATAAAGGATATAACCTTAGAAATCCATTGTACTCAAAGCACATGGATGACATAACACATTTTGGAGATATACTCATCCTTAAAGTATATACCAGGGTCAATGTCCTTGGAGAAGTCTAGGCTAAACTCCACCATGGTCCTGTGACCAAGAAAAGGATGTTTGGGTGTCAGCAGCTGGATTGCTAGCTCCTATCTCTGGAATGGTGTTATATAAGCTTCAAAGAAAAGTTTCTTTTAAAATTTTCTTTCCTTTAATACACAATTATACACACTCAACACAATATCATATCCAGGACTTGAACTTCTTTACATTTTTTTTGTTTGTTTTATTTATGAGACGGTCCCACTGTGTATTTGTGGCTTTTTTGGAACTTACTATGTAGACCAGCTGATCTTTAGTTCACAGAGATCTGCTGGCCTCTTCTTCCTAAGTGCTGGAGCTACAGGCATGCACCACCAGGCTCAGCATATGTTTGTTTGTTTGTTTGTTCTTTTTGTTTTGGTTTTTCGGGACAGGGAATTATGTGTTCATAAACACAATTGACAATAGTAAAATAAATATCCAAAAATTTGGGAGTGATTAAGTTAAAAAAAAAAAAAAAGAAGTGGCAATGTTTGAATTCAGATAACAAGTAATTTGCTATTTATATGAAGGATTGAGTAGTTGAGATAGAGCCAAATGAAGAAAGCAAAGCACGAACATGTTATATCCTGAAAATAACTACAACAATCTATGTCAGACTCTCTGTGATATAGAACCCATAGAGTTAAGAAAATACCTACTGTAATGACTTGAAAGAAACTGGCTGAGTGGTTTTCCTGATGCTAAATTCTCCATTTCCCAATCTGGTACATTGAATATAATTTTGCAGGTGAGAGTCATTAAGACTTGGGTTAAAATTCTTTCTAGTTGTGTGTGGCAAAGAAAAAATGAATTAATCAATCCATAATTTGTTAATTAATGAATGTGTTATTATCATGCCAATACATTAGACTGTCAGAAGACTAGTAAACTGGTGATTGAGATGGAATCCAGTGTCTCATGTGTGCTAGACATGTGTTCTACCAGTGAACTATCTACTAGTAACCTATCAGCTAATCTCTATTTGCACATTCTTCTTTATGTTCTTTATCTATTGTTACTTATAAGATTGTTTAAAAAAATTCCTTCTCAGAATCAATATATTGATAAATGTCTAAGAATGAAAGAAAGGAAGAAAGAAATGGACTCACCTTTGATCATTAAATTATGCATTTTTTAAAGTTGAAAACCATTGTTACTAGTTATCATCCTTGGCAGAGGAAAAAGACTGTGGAAGCTAGGAATATAGGGATTGGATATTTTCTAAAATAGTTACCACCATTAGAAGATTAGGTAATTATTTAAGACTTAAGACATAAAGGAATTTCGCTGATATTAGGACATTATATGGGCTTCTGAGAAGTGGGTTTCTGGACACTAGGGAGGGCAAGGGAGTGGTAGGAGGGAGTGAGATGTGAAGCAGAGTCTGTAAGACTTGTATCCCTTTTGCTCAGAAGCCACCATGCAAGTGCTGGGAACTCTGCAGGAGCAGCTAGTATTCTTGACCAATGAGCCATCTCCACACCCCCAAACTGGTCACCTTGTTCTATTAGTGCAAAAGGTTTCCTATGAAACACAGTTTCTGGATGTTGTAGGAGTCAGGTAGGTTGTAGTAAGGTGGATTATTAAGGATGGGCTCCGGTGATCATATCTGTAAGAGCAGGACTGTTTTAGCTCAGGGAGGATCACTGCACTTGAGTATGAATTCCTTTTTTATAAAATCATTTCGATACTCTCAGCCTTAGCAGTCTTTGCATTCCTTTTCTCTTTGCCTGCATTATATGTACATTAATCTTACCCAGATACTAGTTCAGATACTAAATACCTAGGCTTTCTTTGGGCTTATTTTATTCATAGGCGCATCTGAAAGAAACCCCTGGTACTTATAGCCCTGATTATGTTTGAGATGGCCTGAAGGACAGGCCTTAATAAATCCTAGGCCATTTATAAGCTCAATTAGCCTTTTGAAAGAAAATTTAACATGATAAAATACTGTTTGTTCCTTTTTTTGGTTTTGTCTTCTCACCTAAAGCAATACAAAACCAACCAACCAAACAAACAAACAAAGAAAATCAGAAACTTGGAAGGTCCAAATACCCCGCAAAATCCATTAAGCTTATCCATGTAGCCCATTCTAGTGTGGATAAGTAGCAAGGTTCCTCAAAATAATTTTTAAATCACAGAAATTCAACTTAATATGGCTCTGTTTTTCTTTTTTTATTGAATTCTATCATTTTCCAATTCAGAAAATGACAGATAAAGCCTGCACTAGAAATGATGGTTTGGAAAAAATCATCCATATCATTCTGAACAAAAATAAACATATTTAAATTAAGGTTAATAGATAATGTGAGACTTGTTTAGATAAACTGCTTTTTATAAAGTATCATCTACTTTTACAGGCACAAACAAAAACACGCCCTTCAGAGTATGCTGAGTATATTAAATTTTAAAAATAATAGAGATTTGGGGAAGTAGATTTACATGGCCACTTGAATTATCATTTTGAAGAAATTATTTAACTTCTGAGAGCCTTGGTTACCATATAAATTAAATGGAGATTAGAATGTTGCGTTTATAATTTGTAGGCTTAGTAGGGGTGATTTCAAGATACCTGGCACACATTTTGCCTCACTCATATTGACAGTGTCCTAATACATTCTTTAAACAACTCATATATACTAATTTATGTGAACAGGGAGGAAAATATAAACAAAAAACAACTAAGAAAAATCATTGCTTTAAGAAAACTCCCCAAAACAATAGAGTTGCTGCAGCACAGCCTTCACCTCAGTGACAACAGGAAATCGGTAAATGGAGAGGACTGTTGGCAATGCCAGTAAACCTTTTCTTTCTACATGTTTGAAAACTGACATCTCTGCCTATGGACTGACTGCTCAAGTGGACCCTGGAAGTATGCAACAGGGACAAGGGTTCTTTTTATTTTGTACTGCTTAGTGAAAAACTGACAAAGAAAAATGCTTATCAACATAACCTAGAAACCTTAATCATTTCCACTATTCATTGTCACATTGCAATGCTATTTTGTAAGTTTAACTTACGTTTTCGCAATGATCTCAAGGGAACACAAAGGACCTTTAAGTTCACTAATGAATGATGGTGGGAGCTCAATTTTGTGAACCCTAAATTCTTTTTAGAATGTACACATATTCTTGGCTGGCCAGAGGTGAATGATAATTACTGTTTCTATAAAAACAGTGTTTACTTGTTCAGTATGAGCCAAAATGTTAGATGTGTAATTATCAAAACAATGTAGCTTTGTACTCTTTCTGTTGGTTTACCCTTGAAATGACAGTCTCTAAAAATAGAGAGATGGACAAGACTGACAAGCCTCTTGGAAGAATGCTAAAATAGTACAGTTTAATAAAACAACTATCAGTTTAAAGAAGAACAAATTGAAATCCACTTCAAACTACTAGGCTAGGGAAGACAATTAAAAGAGAAATACTTTACTATAGAAAAGTAAAGCTGGCCTTTCAGTACTGATTACAAGGTGAGAGCAAATGAACATGCCTATGGCATTGCAATCAATTTCTGTAATTTGTAAGTGCTGTTTGGAGCACAATTCTAAAAAAAGGGTAGATGTTACTAGACAAGTTGCAGAGAAAACTACCTATTGGATCTAAATTACCACATATATTTCCATGCAAAAAATGGTTTTACAAGGATGTGTATAACTTTTCTTTTGCTGGAATAAAACTGAAGGCAGGGAAATCATCTTACCTCCATCCAGTTCCTCAGCTCCAAAATGATTCCTGTAGAACAGCATGATTTCTATCTTGTAACATTTATAGATGGTCACCAAACAAACAAGCAGCAAGAGAATAGCACCAAGCCCTCCAGCAAGTTCAACGGTGTACATTAACTCTAGCGGGGATGGGAGGGGGAAGCAATGGAGAATTATACAATAATCACATATAAAAAACGTGGAATTCTATTTACTTACTTTTTTTGGAAGTGACTGCAGATGTGTTAAAATAATCTCATCCCCTTTTCTGTGACAACAGTTTTGTTTTTATTGTTTGGTTCTCACTGTGTACCCTAGGCTGGCTTTGAACTTGTGACTCACTTGCCTCTCAAGCTCTGGGATCATGGGCATGTACCAACATACTCATCTTGTATAAGGATTTAATCCATCTACAGCTTTCTGTGGTAATTGGATAAGGTGATATGTGACAGCGTTGTTTAGTAACACTGCTTTTGTAAAAATGAAGTTGGTTTACACATTGCATCTGAACTAAAAATATTGTAAATATCTTACTACTGTGAGAATATCTAAAACTGGAAACACCAGTGATAGTTTATGCTGGAGAGAATGTGGAGAAAGGGGAACACTCCTCCACTGCTGGTGGGAGGGCAAACTTGTACAGCCATTTTGGAGATCTGTGTGGCAGTTCCTCAGGAAAATGGGAATCAGTCTACCACAGGATCCAGCAATTCCACACTTAGGCATATACCCAAAAGATGTACATCCATGCAACAAAGATATCTGTTCAACTATGTTCATAGCAGCATTATTTGTAATAGCTAGAACCTGTAAACAACCTAGGTACCCCATAACTGAAGAATGGATAAAGAAAATATGGTACGTCTATACAATGGAGTACTACTCAGAAGGAAAAAATACATGGAATCTTGAAATTCTCAAGCAAATGGATGGAATTAGAAGAAACCATTTTGAGTGAGGTACCCCAGTCACAAAAAGATAGACATGGTATATACTCACTCATATGGATTTTGGACATAGAGCAATGGATCACAAGCCTACAGTTCACACCATCCGAGAAGCTAAGATAAAAGGAGAACCCTAAAAGAGACATGCAAGTTCCCCCACAGAAAGGGAAAGAGACTAGATCTACTGGACATATTGGGAGAGGGGGAGTCAGTGAGTGGAGAGGAAATTAGGAGAAAAAGGAGGGGAGAGGAGAACATGAGGGACCAGGAAGATTGAGTCGGGGGAGGAATGGAGGAGAGCAAGAAAAGAGAGGGAAGCATTATAGGTTTGAAGAGAAAACAGACACTAGGGAAATGTCCAGAGACCTACAAGGATGACTCCAACTAACAATCTGAGCAATAGAGGAGAGGCTACCTTAAATGCCCTATCCTGATAATGAGATTGATAACTACCTTATATGCCATCATAGAGCCCTCATCTAGTAACTGACAGAAACAGAAGCAGACTCCCATAGCTGAACACTGAGACTAACTACTGGAATCCAGTTGCAGAGAGGGAGGAGCGATTATCAAAGGGGTGAAGACTAGGCTGGAGAGATCCAAAGAAACGGCTGACCTGAACAAGTGGGAGCTCATGGACCCCAGAATGATATCTGAGATACCAGCATAGGACCGACCCAGAACCCCTGAATGTGGGTCTCAGTTAGAAGGCCTGGGCAGTTTAAGGGACCTCTGACAGTGGAACCTGGTGCATGAAAGGACTTCAGGAGCACATTCCCCATAGAGGGATACTCCCTTGGCCAAGAGGCAGGAGGGAGGGCATAAGCCTTACCCCAAATGACTTGAAAGATTTTGATGATACCTCCTGGAAGGTATTACCCTCCCTGGGAATTGGGTGGGGAATGGGATGGGGGGGTTGGGAGGGCATGGGATTATGGGGGAGAGGGAACTGGGATGAATATGTAAAAATAAAAATAAAAAATAATAATAATAATAAAATCTACAGTATTGGGTTGGCCCCAGTGCAGCAGCTTTTACATATATACATATCCCTTGAGGAGGTCCTGTGAACTATGCTTTTGGAACTGATAAACATTTATGATCACCTGCATATGAATCTTGATCATTTTTTTTAACCTGAGCTGTTGCTTGGGAGTTGAGTTCAAGTATTAAAATGAGGGGGAGCAAATAGCATAGTTCCTAGAGGACATGTGCACTGCTACATAGAGGGTTGGCAGAACTACCTAATGAATGCTACCTGCTTTCTCCTGCAACAAGAAATTACATATGCTGTTCACTTTTCTGAAAAGAGTACTGTTCAGGTGTGTTAGCATACATAATCTTCAAGACAGAAAGCTTAACTGAATTTAAAAAGTGGGCCTCCTAGTGGATATCGCAGTGAAATGTTCTAGAAACATTTCTCTTAAATTAAGATACTAAATTTTTTCTTTACTTCCTTTTATCTTATGCTAGCCATGTTACTATACACTTGTCTAAATTAGGAACATTTTTTGACATTTGATGCATACAAGCTCTCCATTATTACATCAAATGCTGATATTATAACAAAAATGATAGGACAAATTTGAAATAAAATAGTTACACTTTCTCCTTTAGAGTTTATGAAGATTGTAACAAGATTTAGGTTGATTGAGTGTAAACAGTTTCTTTAACTCAGTAAGTTTAGTGCTGTGTGTAGCAGTTTTGTACCAGATGAAAACCTTACATCTTGGAAGGAAACTCAGTAGCACAGAGGATGCTAAAGGGAGGTGAAGCAACAGGATGTTTTAGGGAAATAGAACATCCTTTCTTAAGTTTGGGAAGGAACAACTCAAAACAGATTAACTTGGTCTCTCCTGGCCAGAATGAAAAAAAAAATCATCAAGAGTCACTATTACACAAGTTAGACTGCCAAGACTCTGAGACTAGACCAGCTGCTTGGAAGAAACAGAAACCAGCCAAGGTACCTGAAAGATGTTAAGACTGAGTCATTGGGAAAGGACACTCCAGTCTGTTGTACTGCCTGCCAGCTGTCGAGTATGCTTTTTAGGATTTGTTTTCATGAGCTATCATTCATGCCAGGGTTTTGCTAATGCTCCTGTCATTTGAGTTAGTTCGGCTCCTATAAGTAACACTAATAAAGCTCATTGGTTCACCCAATTAATCTTTGGTGGTATCTTTGTTTTGGTCTGTCATCATTTTCCTACCTAGAGTGATTAGACTTTTGTTCACATCTTCCCAGGAGTAGGGTCACACAACATATAGTCATTCCTTAAATTAAAACACTAAAATAATGTTTTAGATTCTGTAATTGGGAAACTGTGAAGGAATGGGTTATATAATTTATGGCACATTCAATATAAGCTTAGATTAAAAACATTAAGATAATTCATGACTTGCAATAATACATATTATTAGGCAACAAGTTCCTTTTTAAATTCTCATAAATGAGATAAAATAATAACAGGGATGAGGCAGTGTAGAGAAAATAATTTGGAAATTATAGTCATCATTTTCTCACAAGAATGTATGTGTATAACAGAGATAGAGAGAACATGTTTGTTCGTGTGTGCATGTGTATACGTGCATGCTTATATGTGATAACATTTTTCCTGTAACAATTAAGAAAATAATCAGTCACATTTCTCATTGTCTGGTTCTTTATCCCTAATGTAGCAGTTTAATAAAGTAAATACATGTAACTACCATTTAATCAAGTGTATTTTTTGTACTTAGTAAAATTAAATAGGCAGCCAAGGAAAATATTTTATTAAAAACACATGACAATGAATTTAAGATAGAAAAAGTTTAAATAAGAAATTAAATATTTGAGAGTCAAAGTAAATTAATAGGAAATAATGGAAAATATTTTCACTAGCTCTGTCTGTTAAAAATTGTAATGAACCACAAAAGAGACTCCTTCAAATGTGCTGGGGACAAAATGTAAAGTGTTCTTCAGAGTATTGTTTCCCTTATACTGTATGAAGAGAAAGAATAAGTTGGGAAATAATACTGTGGCATGCTTTGGATCTTTGTTATCTCAGAATGCCAGTTGAATTTCACCACATAGAACCCTGAATGAAAGTACAACTTATGTCCACATGATGGATCAAATACCAGAATATCTGATTTAAAACACACTGGACATTATGGGAAATAATAATTTAGATCATGACCACTTTTGTGGTCCAAGGAACCAAACCCAGGACCTCATGCTAGGCAAATGTGCTACCTCTCAAACACATCCCTAGCCCACATTGTGGCTTTGTTTTTTTAAATTAAGGTTCTGGTTTTTATTTATACTTTGTGCTGGCTAGTTTTATGTCAGCTTGATCCAAACTAATGTCATCTAAGAGGAAAGAACCTCAGTTGAGAAATTCCCTCCATAAGATACAGCTGTAGGCAAGCCTGAAGGTCATTTTCTTATTTAGTTATTGATGTGTGAGGGCCCCTCTCATTATTGGTGGGGCCATGGGAAACAAGCCAGTGAGCAGCACCCATCCAACCTCTGCAATAGCTCCTGCCTCTAGGTCCCTGCCTTGAGTTTCTGCTTTGGATCCCTTCAAAAGACTGTGATTCAGGATAGTAAGTCAAACTCTTGCCTTCTCAAGTTGCTTTTGGTCGTGTTTGATCACAGCAATTGAAAGTAAAGTAACACACACACACACACACACACACACACACTTTACAACTAAAATTTCTTGCATAAGAATGGAAATTTGATCAAGAATACATAATTTCCTGTCTTAAACACTGCTGGTATGAGAGGGTGGGAGAGAGGAAAATGAGAGGGTAAGAAAGAGGGAAAGAGGGAGGGAGGTAGAGAGGGAGAGGGAATTGGGACTATATGTAAATTAAAAAAAAAAAAAACACTGCTGGTAAGAGAACATAATTGTGCCATTACATTGGGTAAGCTTTCCAATAAAGTTTTCAATGTCAATATCAATTCCAAAGATACTCTCAGGAATTCTTATGCAAAAACATGTTTTGAGTAGTCTTATCCAAACTAACCACAACTGGAAACATACTGTCTCATTAACAGGAGATGCTGAATAAACTAATGTCAGCCCATAAATAGATTTTATTCAGCAAGCAAAAGAAGAAACTAAAGATATATACCATGCAAAACTCATAGGGTTACACTGGGTAAAGGAAGCCAAACACAGTATTTATAGTATGGTTCTACTAAAGTA